TACATTTGGAACAAAAGGAGGAATTAACATGGAAGTGTAAAACTTTATTTGATTTGCAAGAGAACACTTTAAAGAAAGAATTGTGAGACTTAATATTGGTGATGTTTTCCACTTGTTTATTTTTAATTGTTAATGTTTTGATGGATTTTTTTTTTTTTTTTTTTGCAATGCTGGGAATCATAGATACCTCAAACATGCTAGAAAAGTGCTCTACCAATGAGCTATATCCCAGCCCTAAATTTAATGATTATGAAATTATAAAGGACATGTTCTTTTGAGTTTTAAAACTTATGTAAAGGTATATATCACTATAAATTTGTCCCAAAGATAATTTAGTAATGTGACAAAACTATGTTGGAAATTAGAAAAAAAAAAAGTTGAGATTCCCACCACCACCACCTCCCACCCCTGCACTGGGGATTGAACGCAGCACGTTTACACTTGTGCTACATCCCCTAGTCTTTTTTTTTTTTCCTGAGACAAGGTCTCACTAAATTATCCATGCGGACTTGGAGATCTCCTGCCTCAGCCTCCCTCAGTGCTGCAGTTACAGGTGTGCACCACCATGCCCAGCTAATGGTGCAATTTTTAAGACTGATTTAGTGTGTGTGTGTTCTGGCTTCTTGAGATTTGACTTCATAAAACCTTAGTGTCCTTTAAGCCTAAGTTTTTCTGAGACTTAATGTTCATAACCTTGAAAATATTCATAATTAAAGCCAGAAGACTTAAGTATTAGTGTAAAACATGCTGAAAAATATTTAAATGACCTTTTCTGTTTTTTTTTTAGGTATATTTGCATCCAGTATTGTTCTTATCTTGTCACAGCGATCACTTTTCAAGTTTTACATGTACAGCTCAGCCTTTCTGTTAGCTGCGACTTCAGTGTTGGTGAACTATTATGCTGCTTTGCACATTGACTTCTATGGTGCCTACAACACTTTGGCCTTTGGAATTGAGCTGCTTCCTCAAAAAGGGCCCTCACTATGGATGGCACTTATTGTTCTACAGCTAACATTTGGAATTGGATACATCACACTACTCCAGATTCATTCCATCTATTCACAGTTAATTGTTTTGGATCTTTTGGTTCCTGTAATAGGCTTAATCACAGAGCTACCATTACACATCAGGGAGACATTAGTTTTTACCTCTTCCTTGATTCTCATATTAAATACAGTACTTGTCTTGGCAGTGAAACTTAGGTGGTTTTATTATTCCACACGATATGTTTATCTTTTAGTGAGGCACATGTATCGAATTTACGGATTACAGTTACTGATGGAGGACACGTGGAAGAGGATTCGTTTTCCAGATATACTTCGAGTTTTCTGGTTAACAAGAATTACAGCTCAGGCTACAGTGCTAATGTACATTCTAAGGATGGCAAATGAAACTGAGTCCTTCCTTATTTCTTGGGATGATTTCTGGGACCTTATTTGCAATCTTATAATTAGTGGATGTGATTCTACACTGACTGTACTGGGCATGAGTGCTGTAATTTCCTCAGTAGCCCATTATTTGGGGCTTGGAATATTGGCCTTTATTGGATCGACTGAAGAAGATGACAGGCGGCTTGGCTTTGTAGCACCTGTTTTATTTTTTATTTTGGCTCTTCAGACTGGCTTAAGTGGGCTAAGACCAGAAGAGAGACTTATTCGCTTAAGTAGAAACATGTGCCTTTTGTTAACTGCAGTCCTGCATTTCATCCATGGAATGACAGACCCTGTATTAATGTCTCTTAGTGCCTCGCATGTTTCATCTTTTCGTAGACATTTTCCTGTGCTGTTTGTGTCTGCTTGCCTGTTCATTCTTCCTGTTTTACTTAGCTATGTTCTTTGGCATCACTATGCACTAAATACATGGTTGTTTGCAGTTACTGCCTTTTGTGTGGAACTCTGCTTAAAAGTAATTGTTTCCCTCACTGTTTATACACTATTCATGATTGATGGCTACTATAATGTCCTCTGGGAAAAGCTTGATGATTATGTCTACTATGTCCGTTCAACCGGCAATATTATTGAATTTATATTTGGAGTAGTAATGTTTGGAAATGGGGCTTATACTATGATGTTTGAGTCAGGAAGTAAAATTCGGGCTTGTATGATGTGCCTACATGCATATTTTAACATCTACCTACAAGCAAAAAATGGCTGGAAGACATTCATGAATCGTAGAACTGCTGTTAAGAAAATCAATTCACTTCCTGAAATAAAAGGGAGCCGCTTGCAAGAAATAGATGATGTATGTGCAATATGCTATCATGAGTTTACAACATCTGCTCGTATTACACCATGTAATCATTATTTCCACGCACTTTGTCTTCGGAAATGGCTATACATTCAAGATACTTGTCCAATGTGCCATCAAAAAGTATACATTGAAGATGATGTTAAGGATGAGTCCAATATATCTAACAACAATGGATTTATTGCACCTAATGAAAATGAAAATCCAGAGGAAGTAAGAGAAGATGCTGCTGAATCTGACAGGGAACTAAATGAAAATGACAGTACAGATTGTGATGACGACGTGCAGAGAGAAAGAAATGGAGGGATTCAGCACACAGGTGCAACCACTGAAGAATTTAATGATGACACTGATTAAAATAATTTACTAATCACTGAGGGTATTTGTTTAAAATTGAGTTCATCCAAAATGGAGTAACATGCTTCACTTCAGTGTGTAACCAAGCACAAAAAACAGTATCAATGTTGAATCTGTGAATGGTTTTCCGTTTACTGTGATGTGCTACTGTAAATATACCTCTTTAATTACTTCTGGTCTCTTTGGTGACCTATTTAAATTTGTGTACATTATTGTACATAGAATAAAATGTTTTCACGTTTTTATGATAAAATTGGAACAAACAGCTTTTTAATAGCTATCTTGGTCATATGGTGCGTCAACTGTGCCAAAGATTCTCAATGAAATTATGTAGTGTCTCTAACTCTGCACCCTAGTGTTTTTTTTTAAAATGGGTTTTCCAAGGGGAAAAATTTAAGTGCAAACCAGAAAAATCACATTAAAATCAAGGAAATAAAGTGATTATAAGTTGACCAAAGGAGTACTATTTTAAAACTAAGGAGAAAAATTATCCTTCCAGAAGCAACTGAGAGTTTTTTAAGGCAGTCTTGCTATGTAGTTCAGCCAGGCCTTGAACTTGCTTTGTAGCCCAGGGTGGCCTTGAACTCAGAGCAATCCTCCCACCTCAGCCTCCCGAGTGCTGGGGATTACAGGCGTGTGTTACCAGGCCTGGCATTTTTGAAATTTGAGTTGCTAGCTTCAAAAGTCTTGAGTCATACCATCAAGAGTTCAGAAAGCTTTTAGCAACTAAGCTTTGATATACGGAAGAGTGTGCTAAGAAGTGTCCTTTCAGTCTTTTGATGACACAATGCAAGCAGCTAGGTTTTCATTGTTTTAAACTAGCACTGATATTTTAAAAATATAAATTTTATGGATACAAATGAAGGGGGGGATGATGTGTAGTGATCCCTCTTTAAAGAGCTTTCAGATAATTTTCTTTTATTGAAATTTACAGTAAATTTTACCAGGAAGTTTTTCATACATGATGGAATATGCCAATTAAATATCAGGAAAAAAATATTTTAATGGTGTTGTTATATAGCGTATTGGCTAATTCCAGTGGATCCTCATCTCTTACTGCTGACATTATCTCCAGTATTTGACTAAAACAAAACAAAAAAAGGTGGTTAAATTTCCAGGTATTGTTTTAAAGGCATATAATCATCTTTTCCATGAAAGGAGTATCTTGTACTACTAGTACTTTTAACGTAGTAAGTTTAATAGTTAAAGTTTTCAGCAAATATCAATAGAAAACATTTACTATCAGCAATTACAGATAAGCTGTAGAGCTGGCTTGCATATAAAGCCAAGAATCAGGTTCAAGTATATTGTAATAAACCAGCCTTCTCTATTATGTGCACCGCATCGTGTAATTAAACAGTGGAAATGAAGAGTCCCTTAAAACTGTAGGTCATAACATATCTTTAGTGGATCATGATGAGCATTTAAAAGATTATAAGGAAATGTACACTGCACTTAAGGGTAAGTACCTTCCCACTTTTGGTTTTTTAATTTTTTTTTTACACATTTGTATGTATGTAATGATCATATTGTGAGGCTAGCACTCAAAGTCTGAAAGGCATCTCTTAAGGAACTAGTTATCTAGAGATAACAAACGTTTTATTGATAACTAAGTACAATGACAGCAAATGGAGAACAAGTTGTGGGGGGTTCCTGTAGTTTTCTCCCTGGAAGAGAGAACAGCTTTGGGATCTGTCTTTCAGTTTCTTTGCCTAAAAATGATTATCACTAGTGTCTCCTAGCAACATTACTTATAGGTAGGATATCATTAGATATGAATTAGAAAGTTCTAGTCCATATTAATTTAGTACTTTTTAGGCAGCTTTTTGTTCCTTTTCTGGGTATCGTAAATGTAAACACCCAGGGCCAGGCATGGTGACACACACATGTGAGGCAGAAAGATCACTGCAAGTGCTAGTGTTTGAGGCCAGCCTGAACTACATAGTGAGACCATGTCTCAAAACAAACACACATATAATAAAAAATGTAAATGCCTAAAGGAATTAGAGATGGAAATTTAAGGTTTTTTATTCATAACAGTGACACAAAAGACTGCTTAGTAAATATACCAAAGTGACCACAGTAAACTTTAGAATTTTCCTCTATTCAGAACTGGAACTCAAATTTTAAGTAGTGCTGCTGACAAAATGTTTTGACAGCTTGTTTGGCGGTTCTAATGGGAGTGTAGCTACTCACACCCGCCTCACAAGACAGATAAGGTGCATCAACCCTGGCAACCAATGGGGTGACAGACATTGCAGCCAGATTGCCCTCATAATGTTTTCAAGTTGATAACTGCTTTACTAAAATTACATTGTATGACAAAATCACTTTATATTTAAAATTTTTTTACTTTTGTTTTTTGAGACAGGGTGTCTTTCTGTAGTTTAGGGTGGCCTTGAACTCACCATGTGGCCCACTCTGGCCTTCAGCTCTTGCCTCAGGCTCCCACAAGCTGGAATTAAAGGTGTGTGTCCCCACACCTGACTTACAAATTTCCTACTAAGTCCTTTAGTGCTTAGTGGAACCTTCTGCTTCTGTATGCGCAATAATAAAGTTTATGGCACTCTCTGAACATCTCCCTTGCAGCCCGGCTGTTCCTAGATAGCTTACGTAGCCTCAAGCTATAGTTATACTTCTATAAAAAAGGAAGTTTATTGTCCCTGAGAACTGAATGGCATCTGTTTAATGTGGCATTCTTAAACTAGGCAGTTACGTCTTGGAAAGAGCTATATGATTCTACCACCCACCTCTTTTCCAGTCCCTTCTGTTAACCTGTTAGAACGGGGGCTTTATTTTTGCCATTCTCCCATTTAAAATCCTTTGGGTCCTCATAAAATCTAAACTACTAAGGTTGGCATACAGGAGACCTGACAATCTGGCCTCACTTTGCCTTCCCAGACTTCTCTCCTTCCATTACCCTGTGCACCCTACTTTGCCACACTAAGCTCATTGTTTCCCTGAGTCAGCGAGTCTTCTGCAATAGGCCTTTGCTTAAGGTCTTTGGCCTGATTCCCAGTCTTCCTTAGTAAACAGCTGAAATGTCACCTAAGTAAAGTACTTTTCTAATCCTGTAGGCAGACAGTTTTCATGTCTCTGTTCCTGGACACAGATTCTGTAAAAGCTTTGCCATCTCAGACTATTATGTTTTCTGTTTGTTTGCTTCAGGAGTGCAGGTGGCCAGTGTCTAATTCTGAGTGCCTCACCCCAAGTGCCTGGCACAGGAAACCTGTTCATGTGGCGGGTGGATGAGCACAGGGACTGTCTTGATTCTTGTAGCCTTAGTAATCTGCACCTTTCCTGATGTGCGGCAAGAGCTCCAAAATGTCTCTTTCAATGAATTTCTAATCTAAAAGAGAGGTAAGACCTCTATATAGTAATGACTGTAAAACTCAACAGAATGGAGGTTGATAAATACAACACTTTTAAGTAGAAATTAACTTGCCAATTAGTAATTAGCATAACTTAAGTGAATGGCTATAATTTTACTTAAGATTAAGACAGTACAGAAAACTGACTTGGACACACTATTAGCACCTACTCCTTCTAGGCTGGCAGCTAGCAAAATACCAGTCATTTCTAGTGTCCTCTTAAATCTCCAAAAAATAATTAGAAATACTGTCTTCTGACTAAATTTGCAAGTATCTGTATTTCATAAAAATGACAAGTGATTTGTTTTTTACTAACCAGAGTCTAAATACATCCCTAAATCTATAGACCTTAAATCACTGAATTTTACAAAGTCTGCCAGAGTCAACAATTAAGGAAAAAAAAAACCTCTCAAATAATTTTTATAGGACAAGTCTCCCATTTTTCTGCCTGCTGAATTTTAGACCTGGTTTATCTAATATTCATTATTAAAAATTAGTAAAAAAAAAAAAAATTGCATTTTGGAAAAATTGGCAGTCTAAAGGTAACAATCCAGTATTAATTTTTTTGAATGTGTTACAAAGTTCTGCCTTTTTTGGGAGCAAGGGTAGAAAAGGAAACCCTATCACTTGTCATTTTGTTCCTACGCTTAAAGAAATGTGTTATTTCCTATATTCAGGTTGTGAAATCATGTAAACTGCAGACACATTCACAAAAGGTCTGCTAAGGCTAACTGGTTACAAATAGAAGAGAAAGTACATGAGAATAAACTTAGGTCAGGTAGGGTGCATGGATAGCTATAGGATCTTTTCCTTCTTGCAGAATGACAGGTAACCAATCCAAAATCAGATTTCTCACTGCTGCAATAAATTTGCTAGGTTGAAAGGATGTGAAGCTAGGAGTCCAGATACAGAAATTCAGGTACAGATTCTTCTGAACATCGCTGAAATAATCTTTGACCTGCAATTGAACTTTAGCTCATAGTAATGTATGCGTGTGTGCACATTACATGTTTCCGTGTACACTTGTCAGAATGACCTGTACTAGATCTGGATTTCACAAAACTTCAGTTCTGCCCTTAGACTTCATTTTTTAGTAACCGGCATTTGGTGGCTGCCTTCAGCGATTCTGAAGACCATAAAAGAAAAACACTTACATTATATGGCAGGGTTCATTTCTGTCTTTTAAACAATGCCCATTTTCCCATTTCTTCTTGGTAGGAAATGAAGTTTTTATATATTTTGATCCAGCATGTGTACTTTTAACTCCACACCAAGGCGCATCTGGAGTTAAGCAAGAAAAAGAAGTGTCTGTTGAAAGGTCTATGTTGTTAAATTTTTAGGAACATTAGCAAACTAATATGTAACCTGTAAATTATAACCCATAATTTAGCTTCCCAAATTTTCTGCTAGGACAACAGAACACTTCTAAGAAAAGCACAAGAAAAAATCTTCTGTGGCATATTAAATGCTTTATAAGTAAGACTCAAACTTTTTCTGCTAATAAAAAAAAGACAAACCTAAAAGTTATAACATTATAATATTTAACATAAATTTCTGTATTATCTCTACTGAATATGAAACAGTGACTTTGAGTATTTATCTCTTTAATCAACAGCTTACACATTTTATGACCATTGTATGTATGTATTTCAATTTCATGTTTGCCCAAGGAAATAAAGTTGGTATCTCCAGAGTACCTCAGTCTGGGCTTTACTAAAGGTCATGATATAAAAGCCCTTAGTTACAGGATTTAGAGATAAAAGTTTTAACCTTACTTTAAAAGGGAACAAATTCTAACATTCTTGTTCAAAAACTATTTGATTTTTGCAGTTTAAAAAAGTGCTATAAATTAAACCATTTTAAAGAAGACATCATGTAAAAAAAGATTTTGAGATCTTGAAACCCTGAGGTGTAACACTTGGTCAAAATTCCTTAATTAGATATACGACCTATTACAGATTCTGACTTTTTTTAAGTTTTCTAGGCTTAGACAAACTTCTAAAGTTGAAAATTAAAATCTCTTGCATAAATATTTCACCTATAACAACCAAAAAAAGTCTTTTGAAAAGTACAACTGATGAAATTGAACATCCTATTTTAAAACATTTATTTAACAATAAACCCGATGTCAATTTACTTTTGGGGGAGGTGTGGTATTGGTTTAATATGAAACTAGAAGTTTTGAACATTTAAAACTTACCAGTCTCAATCATTAATTTTTCGCTAGGTATTGACTTCAAAACTTCCAAATTTGCCTCAGTTTTCAGTGAGCTTTAAAAGAAGTGTATTTTTAAAAGTAGCATTTAGTGAATAACTTTTATACCATGTTTGTTTAAAACAAATCACAATTTTGTCAGTATACTTTAAAAAACATTTATACATTCTTAACCTTCCCAGATTTCAGACTGATAATTCCAACCAGATCTGCCTTTAGAGGATGTAATTTTTTATGCTTATCAGTTGATGCTTCAGTTGCTTTCTGTATCAGTTTAAGTGTAAAATTTAACTTTTAAAAAAGAACTTTTTTGCATAACTTTAAGGCTGCTGCTTTCATTTCCTTAGCTTTCATGTTCAGCCTCTGAGACAGGATTCCTGTGTACAATTCTTGGCTGTTCTCTAATAAAATTATGTAACCCTGCCATGGTTTCTTAGTAGGATGGATGTCTACCAATACTGTCCATATATATATGTAATATATATAATATATATATATTTTAAATCTGTAATTTCAAACAGTTAAAAATATTTTTTGGAGCATTTTTCAAAATGTTCACAGCCAAGTAAGCAGATGGTAGAGATTTTACATATACCTCATGCCCATATAAGCACAGCCTCTCTCAAAATCTCATACAGCAGTGGCACATTTGTTAGAACTGATGAGACTACATATCCTGACTTAAAGCCCATAACTACATTAGGGTTCCTTGGTGAAGTAATTCTTTGGGTTTGGACGAGTGACATAGTCACTGTTACAGTACTACATAGTAGTTTCAGTATCTAAAACTCCCGTGTTCTGCCTGTTCTCTCCCTCCCTCCTCACCTCTAGCGACCACTAATCTATCTCTTGAAAACCACCTCACCCAAGACATGTACAAAATGATAGTTGGGAATTCCCAGTGTAAAAGTCAGTTCTCCATCTGAGCCTGCCAGTTGATAGTCTCTCTCACCAGCTTCCAAACAGTTGTTTTTTAAATAAGATAGTGAAGGACTGTTTGACAACTCTTATCATGACAGAAACCAAGCAATTATAGCGTAATTCCTATCTTTAGAGAGATGAGAAGGTAACTGCATCTATCAAACAAGATAGTAAAAAACAAGGGCTTTCAGAGATTCAAAACAACTGCCAAAGGATACTTAATTTTCAAAAAAGTTTGATAAAGCACTTTTTTGAAAGAATATAAGGGATGTAAATTGCAAAATAAAAAGATTATCTAAGTTGTCGATCTGAGATGTAAAAAAATAAAAAATAAAAAAAATTCTTCAGGACAAAGATGAGCCTCTAGCTGGAAGGGGCCAACAGGAAAGCATCACAATGAAGATAAACCATGAAAACACATCTGTGAAGTTCCATACCAAATGTATAGCACTACAACCTTCCAAAGGAAAGAAAGCAAGTCACAGTGCGAGCACTGGGAATCAGAATAGCAATCCACATTGGTGAAAATGACTTCTAGTACAGAATTTTATGCCCAGGAGAACTATCAACCAAAAGGGGGTTCCCTCAGCAAACTTTTAAGAGGAATAAAATAAATTAATTTTCAAACATAAAAAAATTATTCAAAAATTTTACTTCCTATGAAATATTCTTCCCATCAGAACACACACAGTAAACATGAGATCTAAAAATAGCTCTATCAGAAGAGACACTAGTCCAAACGGAAACAGAAAGACAGAAGGGTCTAGAATTAATACAACTATCTAGACAGGTTTCCTCATGGGGAAAACAGATAAAAGCATTTTACAGGGCAGTGCAAACTATGAGTGAGCTTCAACTTTGGAAGAAAGCCAAACAAAAATATACGTGTAGTAATCTATGATGGCGTCTGCCTGTAATGCCAGCTACTTGGGAGGTTAAAGCAGGAAGACTGCAAGTTTCAGGCCAGCCTGGGGCTACTGAAAGCCCTTCCCTGTCCTCGACAATCTGAGAAGTTTATATTTGTAATCTCATGGAGAAGTTATTGGAATTCTAATAAGTTTAATTCCAATCTACCACTTCCAGTGCAACCCATGGCGAGAATAAAGACTAAGGCATATTTGCGGGGAACCACGGAGTCCTAAGTATAGCTAGTACGATGGTTAACCAAAACAAACGTCTAGATCCAGGGCCAAACCCAGGTTTTATTAATTTGTCAAGAGGGGAGTAGCTTGGGGATGAATGATGTGAGAGTGGTGGGAAGTACATGAGTGCTGTGAGGTGGGCTAGGTACAAGGCCTGAAATCACTTCTGCAATATGCAGAGAGATACGCAGAATGTGTAATCTGCCTAACACAACTTGAGGCAGTATCTAATGTTTTGGGGTTGGTGCTTCAGCTCTGATGTGTAACTTTTTGTGCCCTGAGATGTACAGCCTCTTGTCTCAAGGCTCGATCCAAGCTGACAGCTTGGAGTGTGGCTCTCTTTCCCGCCCCAACTCACACATGCTTATTGGGACCTATGGGGCAGGGCAACACTGACCTGTCGCTTTGCTTCAAACACTACATGTCAGCACCTTCAATAGACTGATTTGCATTGCTTAAAGCCAGCTGGGGGGATAATGAAAAGTCCTAGCCAGCTCTGTACATATCAGTATATGGAAATAGGGCCAGGTTTAGCCAAAATGCAGACAATTTTCTTGTTTCAAGGAGAGTCATCCAAGTGGTCCTTCACACTGGGCAATTCAATTTTTTGTCTGAAAAAGCAGGGGTAGATTGGGGAGAATGCAATCAGGGTACAGAGTCCCTAGATGTAATCCCCAGTCTTTCTCTTTTACACACACACACACACATACATGGTGAGAGGGAGAAAGGGGAGTGTTTTAGTGGTCCTGTTTGGTTTGGTCTTTTTGAGACAGGGTCTCACTCTGCAGATCAGGCTGGCCTTGAGCTCAATTTGTAGCCCACGCTGCTCTCAAACTTGGATCCTCCTGCCCCGCCTCCCGGGTACTGGAATTACAGGTGTGCACCACCACATCCTGCTTAGCTTTCCTGTTACCGGGACACAGCTGACACCCATGACTTAAAGGAGGAGAGATTTAACTTCACTCTCAGCTTTCAGAGGATTCAGTCCATGGCTGCCTGACTCCAAGGCAGAAACATCATGGCAGAAGGGTGTCGCAGAGCAAAGCTGCTCAGTTCACAGCAGCAAGGAAGCAGAGTGGAAAGCAACACCAGGGAAGAAGGGGCCAGCTATACACCCTCAAGGTCAGGCCTCTGAGCCATCCTAACACCCCCAGAAATGGGCTTCACCAATCTCTCCAACCCCTGGACAGATCTCAAAGCCGATCAAGTTGATACTCTGCCCTAATCACCACGGAGGTTTACTCCAAAACAAGAAATGCAATCATGACATGTCACACGGGTCAGCAGCCTACAATATCTATATAGACATAGTGAAAAGACAATATGCATAAGGCCAAAAAAATCTGAAATAACGATAATGGAAGGAATATGGAGGTAGGAATGAGTGTGGGATATAAAAACTAAAATGTCAGCTTAGTTACCAGTCTGCAGGGATCAGTGAAGGAATGATGATACATGCTTTCTATATAGAAACATGGTGACAAGCAGAAAAGCAGCTGCCTCTGGAAAAGCTGCTCTGGGGCTGCGACATGCTGGGGGTTCTGGTAGTGTAAGTCGTTAGTACTTCCTGATTTTTTAGTCTCTATATATGTACTCCTTTGAATATTAACTTACTGATTCAACCATTAATTTAAATATGCAAGAAGTATCTAAGACATTTAAACTCTCTAGAAAATAATTCCATGATTCTAGTTCCTTAAGTTTAGCCAAAAATAAGTAATCAGAAAAGTGATCATTTTAAGGAAAAGAATGTACCATGCACCCCGAGGCAGACTTCTGGAAGGTGGTTGGATCATAGGGCCCTTGTTCTTGGTGTGCTCGACCCCTAGAGGTGCCGCAGAGTACGCTGCTGGAGGTGGGGTCTGTTAGGAAGAGGCCTGGCGTGGAAGGTGTGTCACCCCCACCCCCTTCTTGCCTTCTGATTCCTGACTCTAGGACACGAACAGCTTCCTCTGTGGCAGCACCTTCTGTGTTGTCTCTGACTTGCAGCAAACTATGAACTGAAACCTCTAAAAATCCTTGAGTCCAAGTAAGCCTCTTCAAGCTATAGGTGTCAGGTGTTTTGTCTCTGCAACGTGGAAAGCAAGTCTTATACTATTTTGACATCCTGTGAAAGGACCCTGGTGGAAGCTCTCATGTATCTGACAAAAAACAAGCCCAAGGCCCTAGCCATGCTAGTGCACTAAGTGAGGTTTCATGCGGTGTTACAGCAGAAAAGTCACCAAGCAAGGAGCCAGAGGACAGATTCTCACACTGGAAGGAACTTGATACCCATTTCTTCTTTCAGCTTCAGGTCTTTGGCCTCCAGAGATATATAAACGATTGCCACAGAATAACTTTCTGAGGGGCTAGGGATTTAGCTCAGTGGCACAGCGCCTGCCTGGCAAGCATGAGGTTGTAAGTTCAGTTCCCGGTACTGGAAAAAAAAAAAAAAACCCAAAACAGCAAAAGAAAAAAAAAATATATAATAACTTTTTGTGGCATGTGCCAATGGTCATGTACCACATGTGTACAACTCTATACAGTGCCGTGAATCCCTATGTTTCAAAGGCAGAAAATGATCCCAGAATAAATTGGGTTGCTAGAGAAAGTTAGCAGCTGTTTCAACATAAACTTTTCCATTATTACAATAGAGAGTAGGGCCCTATAATTATCAAGCTTTAAATTGTAATAATAAGTACTCTTTAATTTCATACATAAATTACTGAGATTCTTAAGTAAAGATCAATACAAAACACATGTACTTCAATAAAAATAAACCTTTATCAGTTCACCGTAAAGTAATTTAAAAAATATGTTTACTATAAAAGTTAACAAAAACAAAAACCAACCTAACAACGTACCAACCATTAAACCCTATATAAAGATCCAAGTCGGTCAAAGCAGCTGCTGCTTCCTTGGTACCATCAAATGAGTGTACCTAGGGGACACACAGGTATCATTTTATTATTAGAATAATTACTCTTCCTTAAAATTCTAAGTAACATGGATAAGATTTTCCAAGAAAACATACACACACACACACACACACACACACACACACCCCAAAATCCTAGACCGCAATGTTTCAAATGTGGTATTTCCTCCTATTTTTATTTTCAGGTGAGTTGCACCCTATCATCATCTCCAGTGACGGAGGGAAGGGACTGCTGCTTAGAATTTCCCTCCACTGTGCTTAGCTATGTCGCACCAGCATCACTGCAGCAGCTCCATGAAGGCACAGCAGTAGCCAGTAGGCAAAAGCAGGAGGAAAGGGTGGAAATGCTGTGACACTGTTTATAATACACTACAAGTATTACTGAGCTGCTCTGTTAGAGGATATTTTTTCTAGAATGGAAATGACTTTTAAGAGGAAATTTAAGAAATTGTTTACCGGGGTGAGAATGTTGCTTTAAAATTTAAATAGATACACAGTTGACAATGGCAGCCTAGAAGGCAGAAAGGACTGAGATGACAATATTCACCTTTATAGTCCCCAGGTGCGGGCACAGCTGCTCACACTTTGGGTGTATTTATGTGCTCAAAACCAACAGGTAATAACACTGCTTTAAGAAAGGAGATCAGGGGCTGGGGATTTAGCTCAGCGGCAAAAGCGCCTGCCTGGCAAGCGCAAGGTCGTGAGTTCGGTTCCCGGTACTGGAGAAAAACCAAAAAAAAAAAAAGAAAGGAGATCAGCACGTGATGGTGCGTTCCCACCAAGTCCACAGAGTGTGAGCACACATGCGCAACATGCCCTCAATGACGCATCGTGTTAACTGCCTGGAAGGCAGTTCTTGCCCTAAGCATTTCCAGTGGACTAAAACACACAGCCTCCATTAACATCCAAACAATTTTAAATGTAACTCTTCATAAACCCCTTCAAAAAATTATTCTTTGTATAGCAACTTTTTTTGTGATGAAAGTCAAATGATTTGTTGTTGCTTTTTAAAATTTAAATTTACTACAGAATCATCCAAGTCAATTTAAATTTTTAATTAATTAATGTATTGTAGTATTGGGAACCAGAGAGCTCTGAGCTACAACCCCAGCCCTTTTCATTTTGAAAGCAGGTCTCTGTAAATTGTCTAGGCTGGCCTGGAAATTGCAATCCTCCTGCTTCAGCCTCCATAGTAGTTGGGATTACAGATAGGTGCTGCCATGCCAAACCCAAATAAAGTCTTATTTAGAAATAAAGCAAATGAATGTGCAGTGTAGTCTGAAGGTTGTAATAATGCCACCAGTAATGACAACCTTGTTCATGAAAGCTTCTCTCAATTCCCAAGTATAATTCCTAATGGCTAAACTACAGAGTCATAGATTAAGAGGAAGTGTGCAGAGTAACACCAGCATAGCAAGACAGAACGCACACGTTACAGTGCCACGGAACACACACAGAAGACTCAACACAAGGCAGTGCTGACTTCTTCCTCACCTGGCAGAGTATAACTGATTAGATATACCCAGAAAGAACTTTACTGATAGTCCATGAGTGTCTTGTGAAAATGTGTATGAAATCTGAGTATGTGAGCATTTCTCTAAGGCAGATTCTCGAGTCCATGACTCAAAATAGGATTAAAAATCATTACCTAATAGATACCTGAGCTAAGTAAGTGCAGATAATATTTATGTGACATACCTGAAGATTAATGATTACAATGACTAGGAGAACTAGTTAGAGCAGAATACAAATTACAGAAAAAAGTGTGAGTAGATCAGAGTAATAACAGCAAGTGAATAGAGCTGACAAATTGGAAGGCACACCTGAAACACATGATGAAATAGTTCAACATACTATAAAAATCAGTTTATATTTTGCTCAAAATTTAAATTGAAGAACATTAAAGAATGGCTAATGGAAGAGACAAAAAATATGCGCAGTGCCGGAATGTGTACAGGTACATTCATGCGATTTTCATGTGAAGAGATTCTGTACTCCCTCTTGTTGGATGTGGTGGTGTATGCTGTGATCCCAGCACTCAGAGGAGACTGAGGCAGGAGGATTGCTGTGAGTTCAAAGCCAACCTGGGCTACACAGAGAATTCAACACCAACCTGAACTATATGTAGCAAGACCCTATCTCACCACCCCAATTACTGTGTACTCATTTTTGTGTTCTGAACAAAAATATATCAGAAGTTTATGTTCATCCTATATCTGGCCCATAAATCCAATATTAAACACACATGTTCTTCAAATAATGATAAAACTTTAATAACTTTATTGCTGACATTTGAATTTCTTGTTTTTTGGTTTTTTTTGTTTGTTTTTTCTCTGGTACCGGGAACCGAACTCACGACCTTGCGCTTGCCAGGCAGGCGCTTTTGCCGCTGAGCTAAATCCCCAGCCCCGACATTTGAATTTCTTTATAGGCCAACCTTAATAATCAAGACATTTTTCAGTACCATATATGGAACTATTTTATACTCACCACTCCACCTACACACCGATCTCTGTTTCTCTTCATTATATCTGTGAATTAACAGAAAGAACCTTTAGCAAGTACTACATTTCTGTAAAATTCTTAAATTCTAAATGAGAATTTTATTTTAAACTCACCCAAAAATTCATCATGTGAGTTTCGACAATGAAGAAACATTGGTAATTTTGTTTGTTCAGACAGTTCAAATTGTTTTTCAAAATATCTGCATTTGTTAAAAAATTTCCTCAGTAAACCTTTTATTTTAGCATGAGAAAGATAATTACTCAAAAGACATTTTCTGAGCAGCCCTGGGGATTGAGCCCAGGGCCCGGGGCTTGCTAGCCACACGTTCCACAAATGAGCTAAATCCCAGATATAAATGATTTTTTTTTTTTAATTAAAAGAACCTTATTCTATAGCAATGTCAGCACCAAAACTGTGAATTCAGACACTAAAATATATCAGGCATAGGACAGGGCTTTAAACACAGAACTTAAGGAAAGTGATACTACATTTTCTAGGATTACTGTACAAGTCTTTTTTTCTTGTGCTTCTTGGGATTGAACCCTGGGCCAGTCAAGTGCTCTATAGCTGAGCTTCATACCCAGCCGAGCTGCCCCTCCCTTCCCACCCTGCCCTGGCTCATCCTGTCCTATTCATCTTGAGACAGAGTCTTACCAAATTGCCCAATCTGGTCTCAAACTGTGATCCTCAAGAGTCAGCTTCCTGAGTAGCTAACGTTACAGACATGTGCCACTGTGCCCCGCCTGCAATCAAGTGTTCATGTGCTATTATAAAAGTTACTGCCACTTTATGAAAAGAGCAAGGATCAAAACTAAATCCACGTAATTGCTAAGTAAGTACAGTAAGTCTCCGGCCTGCGACCATCTGAGTTATGAACTTTCACAGGTACATTCATAAATGCGCACGGATCGTGGACATAGCTCCCATGTGCTGCCGTGCTTCCTGTCCAGTGCCATAGTGCACAGGGCACAGGGGTCCAGTGCTCAGTCGGAGCCCGGGATGTCCAGAACCAAGAGGAAAGCAGTGGCGAGGTGGAGGGGACTGCTAGGAAGTGCAAAGCAATAACCATGGGAACGAAAGTGAAAATAAGTGAGAGACTGGACGAGACGAGAAGATGGTGGATGTCGTTCCACCATCTCCCGCCCACCTTCCTTCCTCCAGTCAGTAACTCTCTCCTGTGCTCCCCCACAAGCCTCCACAGCCAGCTGCTGTACCACACTGTATCGCCATAAGATAACTGTAAACGTAAAACTAGTATACTTACTAGTCCCTGCGTGTTTATGCACTGCATTGTGTCAAAGGTATGGAAGACTCACTCTGTTGGACTTAACAAACAATTTGACTTATGAACCTTCTCCTGGAACGGAATCCTTCCCAAGTCAGGGATGTGGTATAGCACAAAAATTGAACTAAGCTATTTTTTCAAAAGACAAATGACACAATAAATGGCACTCCTGAATATTTTAGTATACTTTATAAAGTTTTTCCAAGTGCCACATACGGTATCTCATTTGCTCCTCAAGTGGACCCTCAATCCTAGGCTAGGATGAGAGCGGGTTCAGAGCTGCCATACTTCATCCAGGATCACACAGCAGGCAAGCTTGGAACCAGAACTCTAGTACTGTAATTCCAAGCCCTACCCAAACAACCCCAAACTATTACATTTCAAAGCAGCTTCTTCCCGCTCCCAGAGGACAAGATCCCAAGGTGAGCTGAGGAGCAGCACCTTGCTTGGTTTTTCCTTCTAAAACAGTGCTAACCCTTGTTCCCATTACTGGTCACGTCTGTCTAATTGAAACCAGTGCCACAGGTGACCTGTTCTTTTCTTAAATGGGTTTATCTCTTCTAGGTCCTTTAATTTGGAAAACAATTTCTCTACTTAAAACTTGTTTTACTATATTTTCCTATGCCCTATCTTTGGATGTGAAGGACTGTCTCCCTGGAATACCCTTTCACATTCCTGAAAATGCTAAATTTTAAAATCAGAAACAGAAATATACTAGAAACATAATTAGTAAAGAAATACTCTTCCTCACAGGCATAGTGCGACCAGTAATTCCAGTACTTGGGAAGCTGAGGCAGGAAGACTGCCATGGGTTTTAAGGCCAACCTGGACTACATAGTGAGACCTGTCCCAACAAAACAAAATAAAAAAAGAAATGACCTTCTTAAAAATTGGTACTTTGTATTTTAACTATCCATTGGATGTGATTGTTTTGTTTGTTTTTTTGAGATACGGTCTCCCTATGTATTTCAAATTGGCCTTGAACTCCCGATGTAGCCTGTGCTGCCTTGAACTTTTGACAATCCTCCTGCCTCAGCTTCCCAAGTGGTGGGATTACAGGTGTGTACCACCATGCCCACCTTGTCTGGGTGTTTAAATCCCCTTTTTAGAGTGTGCTGGACTAGAACAGCAAAGTGTTAGCATTCTGCAGTGCAGACAATATTAATGGAAATGGGGGAAGAAAAGGTTTTAAGAATAACTACTGAATCACTAGTTCCTAGCTGCTGAAGTAGTCCAGAAGTCAGCGGTGCAGCACACGCTCGTCAGTGCACCTGCCAGAGTGCGCGGCTCCCGCTACACTGAGGACAGTGCCTCCACTTGTGCTCGTCACTCTGGCCTGCTGGACGGAGCCACAAGTTCACAGAATCAGATGGTCAGTCTGGAAATGAGCATTCCATTGCAGGGTAAACAAAAGGACAATTTATGGAAAAAAACAGAAGCCCACATAATGTGCTCACAAAATTTTATGTAATTTGAGAGAGGAGAGGCTCCTGAGTCCAAGGTAGCTGGGTATCACTGGGAAGCCATGTAGCGAAAAACTCCTACAGATATAAACTGAGGACATCATGACTGTAAGAGCAAAGGACCACTGTCTTTAACAAGAAATGACATAAGTTACAGGGCAGAACTGACATCTACTAGAAGGTATCACTGCCTGTTGTACTTATGATTTTTTCCAATTCATAAGTGAGTATCTGTCCTTACTTGTGTTGGATTTGCTCACTTTGGTTTCGGGTTGTACCACTGCTTCCGAGGGGCAACACTGTCTAAGAACAAGGGTTGGAACAGCCAAGATGCAGAGGAACGGCTGTTACTATGCAGGGCCAAAGACCCCCAAAGCCCACTGGCCCATCACAGCACAGCAGTGGTACCGCTGCAAACTGGCCCATGACGAGCACGGCCTCAAACCCTCACTGTGAGGGTCTCCTCATTATGTCTGTTTTTTTTTAAAGATGCACCTGTTGTTAACATTTTAAAGCCCCAAGAAAATGCCCAGAGCAAACTCCTCCAAACCAAGAGAACAGAGCTCTACCTTGCGGCAGGAAAGAGAGTACCGCAGAGCAGAGGAACTGAAAAACACAGGGAAACTTTCTATAACCAAGTGACAGCTTTCCATTGCTTCCATTCTTCACTTCTTTCTTTTTCTTCAAAAAATTTCTCTTCAAAAGCCCCAAACAAAAATTACAGCTGGTATCTTCCTTCAGGATGGCAATATTTCTAACCAGAACAATGTATCAACAGCTCTAATTTATTAAGTACCTGTTATGGTTTGTGTCTGGATGTCCCCCCAAAGCCTCATGCAGTCATGCGACAGGCTTCTAGAGTTTGTGATAGATCCATGGTCCAATGCTGGGATTATGGGTATGAGTGCTGCACCCGCCCTGGGGTGGGTAGTTTGCATACAGTGTAAGGGAGGGAAAGAGACTGCTTGCTGCTGCCATTCCTCCCTTTTGCTCTTGCTGCTTTTGCTGTCTTCTGCAGCCATGAATAGTTGCCCTCTGCCACGTGCCACTCTGCCTTGGAGCCACCCGAGTGTGGACTGAAAGCTCCACAACCTGTAAGCTAAACAAACCTTTCCTTTCTTAATTTTGGGTGTCAGCTATTTTGTCTCAGCAACCAAGACAGTACTTACTCTGTGCCAAGCAAGCCACTATGGGCTTTACATACCCCATGCTAAAAGGCAGGTAGCATTCTCCTCATTTATAAGGATGAAGAAACTGAATGAATCAAGGGGTGTATGGTCTTAAATGGCAATTATAAATCGTACCTAAGGACCTGCTGATTCTTTGTTGTTTATGGTAAGGAGGATTAAACCCAGGGACGTTCCACCACTGAGCTACATCCCCAGCTCTTTTTATTTTTTGAAACAGGATCTCACTAAGTTGCCTGGTGATCCTCTAGCTTGTGATCCTCTTGCCTCAGCCTCTCAAGTGCTGTGGTTACAGGCACACACCACATTTGACCTTATTATTCTCTGTAGCATACTGATGAGGGACTGAGTAACCAGTCACTGAATTCACTGAAGTCAAACTATTACATATTAACACCTAGGCAAGTGACATTCTGTGAGTTGCAGCAGAAACTATATGCTTAATATATACATATTAAGTGCCCATCTTGACCTCCTGATGGAAGTATCTTTAAAACAATAAAATGATCAATACTACCAATACTTTCATTTAACCCCCAAATTGAGTTTAAAGTATTTATAGTACATTTTAGAATCAGTTTTAACTTATTCTAGAAGAAAATTCCTATGGGCAAGAAATCCTGAGGGACTCTGCAACTGCCTTGTTTGTCCTGACACAGTCGATGACTTATGATGCTCACCCTGCCCAAAAGCAGACAGGGAAGCAGAGGAGTTCTTAAGAAACTGTCAGAGACAAACGCTTCTATTTTAGTGTGAAATACGCGAACTTTTAAGGTGAAGTGAGCCAAGGACATGGTATTCAAGAGAGGCACAGGGCTGTAGTAGCTCTGCTGGTAGCCACATGATTGGCCCTGAAAAACACAGATGACATACCACGTTTACATAAAGAAGACGCCTAAAGGAAGAACGTGACCATAGAACATTATTCTAACTTCACTGGGTTATAGAGCTGCACACTCCAGAAATTCTAAAGCTTCAAGTCTGGGCTATTACCAACTCCACTAATAAACCTGCTCCTTACCACAGTGATTTTCAATAAGGGGGGACAGACCAAGGTCTTATTTAAGGCAAAACAGTGGCATGGGGGTTGGGGTATATTTCTGGTCATCAAGTCACTGGTTCCGTTAAAGTCAGATGACAAAAATTAATTATTAGATAATCTAATAAACCTAGATGTTATCTTCAAAGAGCTTCTGACTCAACTCTTCTGTATATAAGAAACTACCTTAGAGTACACCTAGGGGGCATGGCGCTTCCTTGGGTTTGATCCCGAGCACCACAAAGAGGGACAAGAGTGGAGGGAGCGGAGAGGGAGGACAGGAACTAAAGTGGAGACAGGTGGCTGTTTATTTGTACAGGCCTTTAAGGACAGACAGTATACCTTACTTTACTTTGTAAACTCTCAGTTCCCAGCGGTTGGTGGCAAGTAGTATCCCATGAATATTTGTTGTATAAATGAATAAATTAACCTCCTTTAGAAGCTCACTCTAATGTTTAAATACAGTGATACTTCGGTTCACGAATTCAGTTCTTGATTCCAGCTGCAAGCTGAACTGGAAAAGAACCGAATCAAATTTCCCCATAAGGTCAACATTAAACCTAACCACTGAGTTTGATTTGGTTCTCGTCCAATTTGGTTTGCAACCAGAATCATGGAAAGAGTCTATCTTGATAATTAGGATGTTTTTGAAGTTAACAAAATGCCCATGTTTTAAATTAAGACTTTGATACAATTCTTATTTACAACCCACTGACCCACTCATGCTGACAGAAGATCCAACTAAAGCTCTGAACAAAGCTCCCATTAAAGGACCCTCACTGTTCCAAACTGACAACACCGAGGGCCCCCAAGAGTAACAGGGGCTTTCTCACTTTAGTGGCTCATCTTACAACCCCCTTTTAATGTCCCTTGCTCTTAAGTCACATCCACACTGAATTTAATTCACTCCATTACAATCATTGATATATGAATGCATTAACAAAAACAACCAGTAAGTCTCTGTCAGGTAAAACTCATGCTTTATTTCTACCATTAAAGTCAAATTAGTGGGGATGTAGCTTAGTGGCATAGCACTAACCTAGCAGGTGAAAGGTACCCAGTACTAAAAAAAAATCATGCTCTGGAGGCTGAGGCAGGAGGATGATCACTGTTAGTTTAAGGCCAGACCAGATTACTGAGGGAGACTCGGTCTCAAAAACACATCAAATTTGATAATCAAGGGACTATGAATTCTCTTATGAATTATGTGCAAATATGCCTAGAATTTGTTTCATGTAACTTTTTGATATACAAGGGAAAAACAATATCCTCACGCTTAGTCAAACTACATGTTCAAATGATAAATTATTTTAAAAAAAATCACTTACTTAAGCTGAATATCTTTGGGGCAAAACTGTAGCCGGTCAAAATCTTAAGAAGATTAAAAAAAAGAAAAATTACTCAGGACTTGCATAAGATGAGTCAGTCATTTTTAAACAAAGTCCTCCAAATGGCGAGGCTGGCACTTACCGAGTCCACACTCCCCTATTGCTACAACTTTTCCCTTGTTGTTTTCAGCAAGATCTAGCAACTCATTCAGGTAAAGATCAGGATTATTCTTTTCAAATTCACCACATCTTGTAGGATGGCAACCAACTGTGCTGAAAAACATATCTAACAATGAGAACAAAAAATCTTGGGGTTATTTTCAAAATATTTTTTCATATTGATACTTAATATGCACAAGTTAGGGAATATCAAGTAATTTCAACAAATACTTTTTAACCAACGCCATATTCCAAACTACCAGAACTGCATTATGTTATTCATATAAGAATTTAGCAAAAAAAAAAGAATTTAAAGAATATTAAGAAAGTAGGCTAAGAATAAGAAAACTGCCCTAACATGTTATAAAATAGTTCTACTCTTTCCAAAGCTTGGTATTAATACCACCAAGCATTACAAATGAATAGTAAAACAATTTTTTGAAATGTTATCATCGAGTTATGTCTTTTATATTGTTTATATGCACGTTTTGATCCATGTATCTCCTATAACTTAAAATTATATAATTTTAAGTATGAAACAGTATTTCATACATTTTAATAATTTAATGCTGTCTTTTAATTAAAAATATAAAAAGTGGACCTCATAGCGGTGAACAGTGGCAGTCACCTACAGAAGTAGGAAGGGGGTTTCTTTTCTAATACTGAGATGAAGTTCTCTGCGGCCACACTCTCAGCTCTCAGTGTGAGCAACACAGGTGAGAAGTCAGGGCGGCTTTGAGGGCTGAACCTAACGGGGAGCTGCAGAGGCTTCCGCTCTCACACAGGTGTCTACAGATGGAGAGGCAGCTTTCCTCCCTCCCTCCCTCCCTGCCTGCCTCTTCCAGTCCTCCCCTTTCCTCTCCTCTTCTTTTCTCCCAATACTAGGGATTGAACTCAGGCCTTCATGCTAAGGTACATGCCCAGCCCCTTTTTTACTTTTCATTTTACTCTGAGACAGGGTGCTGGGCTCAAACCTGGGATCCTCCTGCCTCTGTGTCCCACAGTGCTGAGATTACAGTCATGCATTCCACACCCAGCTAAGAGGCAGCCTTTCAGAGCTGCAAGGACTCTCGGCACACAGCACGGACCACAGAAGAGCAAATGATGGAGATCGGTCAGCCCTTACAAACCATGGCTATCTGGGAGCAAACAGCATGGAAGCAAATACTCTTAATGTACAGCCCAAACTCCTGGGAAAGTGATTACTTTTATGTCTCTAATCACTAAGAAAAAGAAAAATATTACTATATCCTGAAGAAAAGTGTACATTTAAGACTGGTATGGGCATGGTGGCACTTGCCTGTAACCCCATATACTCTGGAGGCTGAGGCAGGAGCATCACAAGTGTGAGGCCAGCCTGGGTAGTTGAGCAAGACCCTGTCTCTAAAAAAATTAAAAGGGAATGGGATGTAGCTCACCTCTTACTGGGTTCAGTCCCTAGTATGGCAGGTGTCACGCTGACCGAGTGGTCTCAGGCACCAGACTCAAGCCACTTCTTTAGTCTATCTAAATTTTGGTTTTTTGTTTGTTTGTTTGTTTTTCTGGTACTGGGAATTGAACTCATGACCTCACGCTTGCCAGGCAGGCGCTGTGCCACTGAGTTACATCCCCAGCCCTGCCATCTAAATTTTGACAAATTATACAAAATGCAATTCCTTAATGTCTAGCACATCAGCATGTAGATGCAAGATGAATGAATGAGTCCCAGATAAATGGGTGTTTTATGTACCCACGATTTGGTTAACCCACTCCAAAACACACAAGATTTTAACTAAACATAAAATACATGGCCATGAAGTGACCATATGAGGGAGCGTGCGTGGTATTATTACTGGTACTCTTGGCCCTTAGGGTGTCTGGTCCACAACATAAGCATTTACTACACAGATCCCTCACAGCTTAAGTTTAAAAAGAGTAAATAAAAAGCAATGCAAATTTTGAAGATTTTATGGCACACAAATGGCACATTAGGAAAACCTGAGGATAAATCGTGCACCTAGATTACTTCATTCTCATGAACTGAAACTAACAGTCTCTGCTGACCATCGAGGGTTTATCAAGCACCTGATACCCCAGCAAACACTTTGAATTGTGTCATCTTAATCATGTCCCACTGAAATCAGCCCATCTTCCCTACTGAGTCTAAGGTCACTGATCCACTCTATTGTACCTGAAACACTTCTCAGAAAGACTTCTTCAAAATTACTTAATTCATTTTTGTTTTTTGTTTTTTTGTTTTTGTTTTTGTTTTTTTTTTTGTTTGTTTGTTTGTTTTTCTCCGGTACCGGGAACCGAACTCACGACCTTGCGCTTACCAGGCAGGCGCTTTTGCCGCTGAGCTAAATCCCCAGCCCTTAATTCGTTTTTGGTACATGTAATAGATACCTTTTGTCTGCGCCAACTGCAGTGCCTCTTTACTGTCTTGTAGATCTCCACCTGTAATCATAAACTGAAATGGAAAGAAGGGAAATAAGCTAATGGCGACACTATCGTGTTCCAAGTGTCTCTTCACTTCTTCAGTGCACAATACTTTTTCTTCTGAATGTCATGCAGTTACCCTTCCTTTAAAGTTCAGTTCAGAAAAATCATCCCTACGTAGCATCCCTGGTTGCTCTAAACATACCCACTGACATGCTCCACAGTAGCAGCCGTCTCTCTACACATTTACAGCTGCGGGTGGTGGCACATGCCAGCAATCCCAGTACTCTGGAAGACTGAGGCAGGAAGATCTAAAGTTTGAACCCAGCCTGGGCAACTTGGTAATTCAGCAAGTGCTGTCTCAAAAATATCTTTCAAAGGTATCTCAGTGAGAAGACCCTGGGCTGAATCCTCAATACCACAAAGAAAAAAATGCATTTACGTGTCTGCCTTTGCTCTTGGTACCTTGAGGACACAGCTCAAGTGTTACGCAAGGACCAAATAAATAATGACCACAAATTTAGAATTCAGTTACTCTAAAGCAGTGATCATCTAAACCAGTAATGATGAATGATGCATAATTCAACAGTTGTCCTCATGTGGTCTAAGAATTTCCATGGGGTCAAAACTATTTTCATAATAATACTAAGACACTGTCTGTTTCTTTCATTCTCAGTCTATCATAGTACACAATGAGGTCTTCCAGGGGCCACATGTATCACAACAGACCAGCAGCAGAAACAGAGTGCAAACTCAGCAGTCTCCTTTTAACCTAGTCATTAAGAGCTCTGAAAGAGGCCAGGCATGAGGGCACACACCTGCAATCCCCACACTCAGGAGGCTGAGGCAGGAAAATTTCGACAAGTTCTAGGCCAGCCCGGGCTCCACAGTGAATTGAAGGCCAGCCTAGACTGCACAGCAAGACCTTGTCTCAAAAAGGAAATGAAATAAAACAAAACAAAAATCTGAAAGAATACAATATAATCCCATTTGTTGCTAAGGTTTTTGTAAATTAGTTATTTTTCATAAAAACAGGCTATTTATATTACATAATTGTTTACTTTTTTTATATATATATATACAAAAAAATAAAATTTTTGGTTCTAATTCCTAATATTGTATAGGAGGTATGATCAATGTATAATGAATATATAAAATTTAGAACAATTTATTACAGTAAAAGATTGCCATTTAATCACCCTCAAAATACTCCACTTCAAACATACTTATGCCATCCTTCTTACCACCTTTGGAAACAGTTCTGGAAATCATTTTTTGAGTGTCCTTACTAGGTGTAATAAAAACGACAGAGAATGCTCCTGCAGACTGCCATCCAATGAAAGGGAGGCTTGTATAAATATTAGTGTGTCCTCATGCACCTTATTCACCGGATCTGGCACTGTGTGACCTTTGGCTCTTCCCCAGTGTCAAAATGACCATGAAAGGTGAAGCTTTTGCCAGGACATCCTCTCAGCCATGACAGCACAACTAAAGGCGCGCCTAAAGAGGACTCCAGAACTGCTTCAGAAAGTGGCAAGAGTGATGGGCTAAGTGTGTCTGAAGGGAGGGAGAGCACGTTGAGGGGAGTTAGTGGCAACGTGTCTTTTACTGTAACTGAGATATGAGGCTTGATGGAAAAATGCAGTGAATGTTAAGGCACACAAACAAAAGCGTTTGAAGGTCTTCAATAATTACAGAACGGGAAGGGGTTCTGAGACAGAAAAGCTTGAGAATTGCTGAGTTAACAATGTAGCTTGTCATTAGAGTCCCCTGATGGGTAGAATGCCATCTCTGCTGGCTGTTAAGATGAAGATGGCAGTAGGGAACCATGTGTTAATAGTGACTGTCAGGACAATGCCATTTAAGGTACACATTACTTCAAAGAAATGATTTTAGTACACTGACAGGTATTTTTAAAGCACACTTCAAGAGTATCACAGAGCTAAAATGAAGGATCCATTCTAGGCACACACTTAAAAGAGAATACACACAAGATAAAAGCAGAGCTGCACATCAGAATCAGACATCTGCATATAGCAACTTCAACCTCTACTGTACCTAGACAATGAGCACAGATACAGGGAATGCCTACTCATTATTCAGTCCTCAGGTGCCTGCAGAACGTAGGATGTACTTTTAAAAATACGGGGACCCTTTCTTCTTTAGTAACATTATCTAACCTTAAAAACCAAATCAGTTGCTCAAATCTAGTACTTCAATCACGTAAAAGCTTTTAATCACGTCAATTTGTAACCGTACCTCCCCCTGCGAAGCCACATGCAGCGCGCAAGGCTGATGGCACGACACAGCAGTGGCAGCACCGCCACGCACACACTGAAGGTTGTTCACGTCTGTGCGACACCAAATGTGCTGCACTCAACAGTCTACTGATCCCCACTGCAGCTCCAGCAATTACAGAAGACCTACTGTCATCCCTTACTACAAATGAGCAAACTAGTACCTGGAGAGAAATCTGAGTGCCAATCCAGCCTTAGGCTTCACAGCTTTGTAACGTGGGGTGTTTTCTCTCTCTAGATACTAGTTTGCTCGTATCTTCTCAGTTGTCTGAACTGGTACATTCATAAACAGAACTCATGACAGATTTATGTCTTTTGGACATTTGCCTATTCTAACAAAGAATCTCTTAAGAAACCCTGCTTCATAAGGCTTTAAACATACTTTCCAGAGATTTTACCACTTACACATTTCCGATCACATGGAAGACCTACAATAAGACCTGTGTAGCTTAAATAGCTGTGAACAGAATATACTACTATTTCACTTCTATTAATTTGCTAGTACAAATTAATAGCAAATATATGCCCAAATATGTGGCAATGTTCATTCCTTTTACTCTACAGAATTTTCATTAAAATTTATTATAAAAATAAAAAGTTAATAACAAAAAACATGTTACCTTTTTAACACCAATCTGGACGGCTCTCTCTATCACATCCTGCAAGTCATCTGTACAAGACAGGCCGTACATGAAGTAAAAACTCACTTATCTATGGTTATCTCTTCTTGAAATAATCACATGCACCAAATCAAAGGCACATCCATATTCTTTTGAAAAAAGAAACAAATTTAAATTTAAGGCAAACTAGATGAATAATTCAACTGTATTTTTCAGTTGACAAAAAAGGGAGAGAGTGACAAAAATCAGGAGGTTCAAACTACAGATAAATTCACTAATTACAATTTCAGTCACACGCCCATTTGTTGGTATTGTACTTTTTAGAAAGTAAATAATTATTAAGATTATTTTTACTAGGGCTTTTCTAAGTACACCTGCAATGATTCCTAAAACAACATTTCTGTGTAAATGTCAGTTTGGGCTGGGGTTCAAGCTCAGTAGCAGAATGGTTGCCTCACATTCATGAGGCCCTGGATTCCATTCCCAGCACCAAAAAAGAAAAAAAATTCAGTTAATGCTGCATTTCTCTAACTACTAATCCCATTAAGGGAAGATCTTTCCGGTTTCACTTGACAGTTGTTTTGTGCTATTCACTATATTCATCGTTCAGGGCCAATAAACTTTTCTGGGGAAATCAATATTAATGATTAAATTCTGAGAGACCACAAATAGACAGTAAAACTATAATATAACAAAAACTCAATAATTAATTTCATATTTAAGTAGAGTAAATGTGATTACAATTAAATTACTATTACACCTAAAGTAGCTATAGAATTTCCTTTATAACAAAAATATTAACTTTAATTTATTAACCAAAACAGCAACTGGTGTTGCTAGATATCATAACAGCAGTAATGCTGTTATTGACGACAATTCATTTCATAAATACAGGCATACACACACATCACAAAACATGAAATCTGTTATTTGTACAAAGGCAAGAAAAGTAGAATTTACTCAATAGCACAACTATACTATTTGAGCATCTTATATTCTAAATTAGCTCATATGTTTTTTTTTAAATTTCTGAAGTTTATTGCTACAATTTAGATATAATAATGATCACATTCATCATAGGGACCTTGTTCCTGTACATGGTATGTCTTAGTTCATTTTTTTAGCTCATATGGTAAAAACACCCATTTTCCTTTCAGCTAAGCCTGCCCTCACTTTACAGCACCATTATCTAGTCCCACGTAATACAACAGCTGCAGTGTAGCCCTAAGTGAGACAGGGACAGAAGGTGACAGCAGTGCCCTGCCTCTCACTCATACTGCTAGTCTGGCGCCCAGGTGAAAATGCTTCTGAAAAACTAGATGAACTAATGTTGTATGGCAAATGATTTTTGATTATGTGCCCCACTGTTCAGTTGCTTAACACACTATACAGAGACTATTACTTGGCCTTGTACATATGATTCTGCAAAGCTCTATACTCAAAATTACAAACTTCTACAGATAATACAAGGCTGAATTAAAATTCTGTTGTGACAGGTGCCTTATAAATGTTCATGATTATAGTTTGTCAATACAGCTTATTCATGTTTCTCTTTGTTTTATCCAAGATGTTAACAAGTTCAATATTTCTTAAAAGTGGATTTTACCTTTCAAGACCTCCATACAGCAGAAAAGTATGTCTTTATCAAGAAATCGTTTACCTTAATAAAAGAAACACTTACCTTGATGCTTCTGAACCCCTCTATAAATTCCTCTGAACATAGGATCTGTCAAGTTGATACCAATATCTGCAGAAAGCACAAATAAAAATAATCAGTTCATTATTAAGAGTCTGTTGGAAACTTCTTTAAATATAAGCTCCTGTTCCTAAACTTTCCTTTCACACATTCATTCCAACAATATCCTAATGCCAGCCACTTTTCAGCTATTGTGCTAGACCCATGTGATACAAAGACGAGTAAGATACTGTTATGGCTTTTGTCTAGATGTCCTCCCAAAGCATCATGGACTCATGGGTAGGGCTTTTCAGACTGGCTAGATCTAGAGTGTGTGAGGCTGGGATTAAGGGTATGTGATTCCTATCTAGTGCACTGATTATTTTGGCATAGTTCTGTGTATGGAAAATGGGAAGGTCCACCCTGGGTGCAGATTTGAGTACCTTAAGGGTATGTAGCCTGAATGATATAAGGGGCAGAAAGAGGGCTACAGTGGTCATCTGCTGCCTGCTGTTTTGCTGCCTTCTGCCCACCATGAACTGTTTCTCCATTATGATGCCCTGTGCCATGTGCCACCCTGCCTTGGAGCCAACCAACTATGAACTGAAGCCTCTACAAACTGTGAGCTACAATAAGCCTTTCCTCCTTTATCTCTGGGTGTTGGGTATTTTCTCAGCAGCAAGAAAAGTAATTAGGACAGGCATAACTCCTGCTCTCAAGAAACTCTCTGCAGAACTAATAAGGCAGATCCACTAATGGTCAATTATAAAATATCAGAAGTAAATACTGGTATAGCAGAATACAGAAGAGAATATCCAACCTAGTCAGGTGACTGGTTGAGAAGTACTTTAGAGTTACAAGCCTTCCAGTTGGTGGAGAGAAGCACAGGGAATGGAATGGCTGGAAGAGGCTAGACTCAGTTATGTTACTGGGCACAACAGGAAGTACTGATGGCTTTTAAGCAGAGGAGTAAGATTTACACTGCTGTAGCCCATCCTGGCATCTTTGTGGAAACTGGGATTAGAAAGGGACAAATGCAGTTAGGACGTCCCACCTGCAAACTGACAAGGGCTCATATGTGCAATGTAGAGCCTAAATTACCGTAATGAAAAAGGAGATGCAGAGAAGGTAATAAAACATTTATTTCCTTTACTTACCAAATACTTATAAAGACCAATTCTGTGCCCTACTTTATAGGAAGTTAGGGGATACAGAAATGAGTAACACCTAACACTTGGTCCCTGTCTTCCAGAAACGTACAGTCTTTCTGGAGCTACAAATAAAATGTTGTAACACAATAAGCTAGACTATAAGCCACATAAGGCAAGAAATCATGTTTATCTTCTTCATTACTGCATCCCTAGAACACAGCATAACTGCTGACAAAGAGAAGAATTTTATCCACATTTATTTACTCAATAAACAACTGTTATGCACATGGGAGCACAAAGGAAGAGCAATACAATTTTGCCAGGGAGATGAGAAAGCTTCACCGGACAGCTGGACCTTGAAGACAGTTTAGGCTTACAAGCGGAAGGAGAAGGCCCAGGGCACTGTACACACACATGTGCTGGGACACAATGTACCTAGAAAACCAGAACTTCATGGTGCCGGCAGGGAAGGGTTCTCAGTGGAGAACAACTCTGCAGCATCTCTCTCCCTCTAATCTTTCTTCCTCTTCCCAACATCTCGCAGTGTCTCTATACACATTTGGTTGTCACATCTGAGGGGAGCACTACTGGCGTCCAGGGTTGAGGCCCCGATGCTACCAAATATCCCACAATACATAGGGCAACTCTCACAGCAAAGAATTACCTAACTAAAAAAATCAGGTGTTTTTGGAAAATCCTGCTGTAGAATATAAGGGAACAGGGGGAATAACAAGACCCAAAGTCAGATTATAACTGTCATGGGGGAGGGGAATCTCCCTTACTTTAAAAACACCCTTCAGCTTTTATAACTAGAAGGAGAATCGCCCAGTTTGTGGTGGGTCAGTTGCCCACAAATAGACCTCTATACTACGGTATTTCTGCCAAGCTGGACACCAGGAATGCACTAATCTAACATTAAGATAGACCTTGAAAGATGAATGAGAGTTGAGGTAACCCAAGACAGTAGAGAGAATATTTCAGACATTTGAACCAGCAAGAGAAAGGTACAATGGAGAAGACTTCAAAGATATCTGGGCAGCAGAGATGGACAGGTGATGAATTCACAAACAGTACCTTTTTGAAAGACTACTCACATACAAACATCATTTGATATTATAAATACTATATACGTGTTCAACTGAATAGCCTAGATCAGAGGAAATCACCATCTAATTTCTTTTCAAGTACAGGAAGGAAATTAGATAAAGAAGGGGCAAACTGAAAGAAAACCCAAGGAGGTGAGGTTCTGTCTAAAATAATCCTTCACAGGAGCTGGATCAACAGTCATCCGTCACCTACAGTCATTCAGAAATGGTCTGTACCTCTTCCAGCCCATCCCCCTTTTGTACATTGTTAACACTTTTTTTCTCATGATACTTGTTAAAGACAATAAGGACGCCTTTACTCAAGGAGGTTACTGCAGTGAGAGTTTTGCAGGAGAGGAAAGAGATCTGGCTCAACTCCAAACACAAAGACAAGTGGGGACTTAGACCAAAGACCAGTGGAGATCAGCAGCTAGAAAATTTCTAAGAGGAAACAGTGATAAGGAGAATTCTGGCTAAACCAAGCTGACATATCCTTGCTGAGGGCAGGCAAGAGGCCTAAGGCTATGGAGAGTGAGATGAGGAATCGGTAAAATATCAAGGCAGGGATTTTCACTAAACTGACCCAGTAGAATTCTTGCCAAAACTGGACAGTGAGTGAGCCAAGGAAGGGGCCCAATGCCAGGACCTAGCTAAGAGGCCGACCCAGGACACTCCTTCATGGAAGAGAGTCTTTGTCAGCAGCAAAGAAAATGGAACTTTTTCTAAGAAAAACACATGGAATCAAAAAGTAAGCAAATCTGACAAGTGATTTTTCATGACTGAACAGTGAACTGGAGATTAGCTTGGAGGCATGACTTAAGGGGCCTTGTCCTGTCTCGACTACACAGATACTGAACCCTTCTGCAGTGCCTACTCTGAGGCAGCTGGCAGCTGAAATCCATTCCAGGAGACTCCAGCCCTGAACTGGCTCACCAGCGTCTTCCTTTTTTTACTGTCTGGGGGCCTGGGTGAAGTTTTACGAAGGTACAGTATAATAATATCCTCTACATCAGAGTTGAAGAAGAAGGTGAGGAAATGAGAGAAGAGCACTTGTTGTGAGTTTTTTAAATATATGTATTTCTGGACAACAAAGATTTGTTGATTTCAACTTGACTTGTTAACTATTCATATGTAGATATTTACATGCAAAGCTCAACTGGTTTTTGTTTTTTGTCTTTTTGGTCCCGAGGATTGAACTCAGGACCTTGTGCTTGCCTGTGGAGAAGAACATTCTTTAGTTACTCTTTTGTGTATCCGCTGAGGCCTGACCAAGCCGTTATTGTTGGGTTCTGGAGGAAGTCCAGCATAAGCATTGTAAGCCCCAGGATCAATACTACATATTTTGCTGAGATATGCGCGAAGGAAGATAACACGATGGCTTACTGGTCAGGTCGCATTCCTATAATTGAGTTGTACTGTCCTCGCTAAAACAGCTGATATCCTCCAATTTTTCTGCTGCCTCCTGGATTGATTCTGAATAAAAGGTTACTGAAGATGGTAATCAGGAGTCAGTCAGTTCTAGAGGCTGCTAGTACCTGATTACAGAATTTTGGCTCTCTTGTTGTTTTTTTTTTTTTCTTATACATCTGCGAGCACCTAGTTCACGGGATCTGTTCACCCTGGACAGAGTTGGATGCGTAGTCCAATACTTGCCAGGCAGGCGCTTGTGCCGCTGAGCTATATCCCCAGCCCAAAGCTCAACTGTTGAAACAACTGAAAGATAATTCATATAACTAACCCTTTAAAAACTACCAGTTTCATTTAAGGTGGTTTTCTTGTGCAAGCCCAATACTTGTTGGGTTTGTTTTGTTTTTTTTTTTTCTATAAGGGATAGAAATTGTACTTTAAATTTCTGCTATTACATTTTCTATTAGTATACGCATTTTACATCATCTTAGGAAGTAGATGTACATAATACAGTGTCTTTTCTTAATTCTTTCCCCCTCTTCCTTCAGTTCTCCTTTCCCCCTTTTCATTCTCATTGATATTGTTAATCTTAGCTCATGTTTATGGCACGTAATGTCCACATTCACTGAGGTTACCAGGACCCTGTACCTGGCATATCTGCACTCTACCTATTTCCCCATCCCTTCCCCCTCACCAAGGATGGAAATTTTTGTGAAGGTGAATTTCAGCCCTCTTCATGTCATTATTTATTAACTGAGACCTTTAAAAACATTGTTTTTAAAGTCTTTGAGCCACTTTCAACATAAAGTTAAACATTTTCTTAGGGATATTATTTTGCTTAGTAAGTTATATACTCTGTATTAATGTAAGCCAAATTATATACACATGATAACTAAAACTGAAACATCTGAAAATTGAAATGATTATAAACATAGAGTACAACAGGGCTGGGGATTTAGCTCAGTGGCACAGTGCCTGCCTGGCAAGTGCAAGGTCGTGAGTTTGATTCCTGGTGCCAGAAGAAAAAAACAAAACAAAACAAAAAAATAAATAAACATAGGGCACAACAAAAAATTCTGAATCGACATCTAGGCTGAACACATGGTTTGTTCACTTGAAGTTTTCTGAACAGAGCTTCACATGAAATAAAAATAAGTCTCATGGTTAAAAAAAAAAAAAAAAACTGGCCACCACTTTGCATGCCATGGCAGCTGTGACCAACAACCATGTCATAAGGAAACATTTCCTTATTGATGGAGGTGGTGCTGGGGAAGACTGGAGAACTGATCAGCTAGTAAAAAGCTTCAGTAAATGGTGTAACTCTGGACCTCAAGAACAAGGGTCTCCCTTATATTTATGAAACATGGAAAAAGCAGAGGGTCAAAGAAGAAATTAAAATTAAATTTGAGATCACTCATTTGATCACTTT